TATTACATATCAATAATAGTAGTTTAATAATGTGCACCTGGTTTTATATAAAATCACAACTGCACGTATACCTTAACTGTCGTGTTGTAGGATGAGCAACTGTTTCTACCACCGTCATTCTAGCCTTCATGTAGTCATGAACGTAGTAAAGTAAAATTATGAATATACATTTTATTGAGTATCTACACTATTAGAGAAACGATTTTTTTGATCCACTTTCTAAATTTAGCTTTAGTCCCGATATTTTTCACGCCTTGGGACTAGAGAACCTTTTAGTTCCGTTGGTAGCTCCAACCGGATTAAAGGTCCCCAGCAACAAAAAAGCTTACGCATTCTTTTAGTCCCGGTTGGAGCTACCAACCGGGATTAAAAGTTAACACTACTTCCTGGGTTGGTCCCACCCAACCAAGAGTAAGAGTTTACTTTCAACCAGAAACAAATCCCCGGGACTAGTGGACTTTGGGCCCCGGGCTGTCACTCAATAGGGACTTAAGGGTCCTCTCTTATGTACCCCTTCTTCCTCCCAGCCCTTGTATTACTGGAGTTTCCAAGTTCTTGCTTCATCGTCATCTTCTCTTCTTCCCTCATCACGGGATAATTACAAAATTTCTTTTTGATTTTCCTCGATTCTTCAGTTCTAAAGGTTACCAACTTTATACTCATGTTTCATCAGTTGCATGTCTTATTTTGTGGACTAGATATATGTAATTTTTTTGTTCAGTTTTTATTTTATATAAGTCATTTGAAGCTCAAAATCACTTTAAAGTTTCCATATTTGGATGAAGGAAGGTTAAAGTGATTATTCAAAAACTACAGTATTCAGCTCATTTTAGCATACATGGTACACTTCATGGTTTAGATATATAGTACTTTAAAGTTTTTTTTTAATAATTTTATTTGTTTATAAAATGAGAAATTTATATTATATTAAAAATGAAATTATAAGTGATGACAACTGCTTCTCGGTCCTGACTCTCCTTCGGGTTCCAGTTATCGGTGCTTGACTCATCTTCATCAAGCATGACGGGCAAGTGTGAGGAGAAGATTGTGATGGAGTACCCGGGGAGGGGAAGGAGTGTCCCAACAAAGGTCTATCTTCACCAAGCAAGTGTCCTGATCATAATATAGCGTATTTTATGGTATTTGATGATTATAGCGATTTATACTTATTTTCATGATGATTGCGATTAAAGTTCTACTTTTTTGTTTGAATTTGATTGGGATGGCACTTTGGATGTTCAGCTGGTACTTTGGAGGAAGAGTATATTGAACACGTACAAACTCACCTCTTGCCTGCAGTGCCTCGGTGGTTACGAAACAAAGTGATCCTGGCTTTAAGAAGCCTTCTCCTTATAGGATGTTGAACAAACGATTATGATACATTTATTTTGGTTGGGATTGACCGCGAAATCACTTATACTCCTGAAGTGCATTTTTAGCTTAGTTTTTTAGTGGTAGTTGGGATTGCTCCGGCATTATATTGAGACTTTCATAGTGTAATACCATGTGGTGGGCATGTATGTTGAGTAATTATCTAATTATATTTCTAGGTTTTTAATATAGTATGTATGTCATATAATGTGGGTGAGCTACATTGGATGTAATAATGCTGATCATGGCCCCAAGAGTCTGCTATTGAGGGTATGCATTCTTTTTCTTACATGTGGCCGAGGGCAAATAAACACGATGGTTTCCCATAAAATATCCGCTGTGCCATATGTAAGAATTTGAAGATATGTACTAGCTGAAGGAGTTCTAGTCTACACTTGCTAGTTTCTGCTTCATGCCAAACTCTATATTTGTTGGACGTATAACGGAGAAAACCGGGTTGTAATGGAAGAAGGTGAAAAGAAGAACAATGGGACGATGGTGACATTATTGTTGAATATGGTGACTTCAATGATACGCAATATGGGGACTCTAAGAAGAGGTAGAGGCGAAGATGAGCCCGCGATGATCTTAGTCGGGCCATTAAATGACCTTTACAAAGATAATGCAAA